GCTGTTCGGTGTGAGCCAAGGCTCCATGTTGAAGGTCATACTTTGACCTATAATGGTTTACTTTTAAAAATTGTGACTTGGATGGAGAGTTGTCTCATTGGCACTCATACCACATCTTCTTATATCTATGTGTGAATTAATTAATTCTTTTAGTCCATTTTTTTTAACAGTCCAGGTTTTTTCAAGAAGTGTCCTGGATTTATGGAGTGGATCAACAAAATCCAGTTGGCTTTTAAATATGATCTATTAATTTCTGGAGTTCTAGGTTTTGGAGGATATTTTAACTGGAATATCTCTTACCTCAATATTGGTGAACAGAATGAAGTAAATATAATTTCTGTTCTGGTACAAGCTTCTGAAAATGGATGATGTATACTTTTTGAGAAATGGGGGTCTGTAAAGATGTGTCTTTTGCATAGTTTGGAAGATGGTTGACAATTAAGGATGACCCCTTAGGGGTTATTCCTTTGACCATTTCTTTATTTTTGTATTTTCTTCTGGTAACCACTTAACATTTCTTTTGTTAAATAAAAGTCCAATTGTATTTTGTTTTCTCTTCAGTGAAAATATTTTTCTAAATCATAGAAATATATCATGTTTTTCATAGGCACTTGATAAATAAACTGATGACACAGAGATATGTCTCGCCTGTCGGCATAAAATTCAGAAAAAGACAATCTGATGGGCAGCAACATTGCTAATTAATTTAAAGTCGCTGGACCAACTAGTGGGTAGGGCATCGAAATGGTTAACAAACTGAGATGTACAGACAGCAATGTAACTTTATAGAAAATATGTCTATTGTAAGTAGTTCCTATCAGACTAATTATAACTTAATCAGAAAACTTAACATTGAAAATTGTTAATTGATTGATATTCACTGGACCATGACCTAGGGGGCAGGGCCTTGAAATAGTCATCAAACTGATATGTACTGATAGTAATGCAACGTTAGAGAAAATATCATTGATCTATCGCAAGTAGTTCATCTCAAACTAACATAAGCAGAAAACTTATCATTGAAAATTGCTAATTAATTGAAAGTCACTGAACCATGGCCTAGGGGGGCAGGGCCTCAAAATAGTCATCAAAATGATATGTATTGATAGCAATGCAACTTCACACAAAATATTATTGATCTATCACCTGTAGTTCCTATCAATCTAACTTAAGCAGAAAACTTAATATTTAAATTTGCTAATTGATTCAAAGTCACTGGACCATGGGCAAGAGGCCAGGGCTTAAAAATAGTCATCAAACTGATATGTAATGATATTAATGCAACTTCTTACAAAATATCATTGAACTATCACAAGTAGTTCCTATCAAACTATCTTAAACAGAAAATTTAACATTGAAAATGGCTAAGTAATTCAATGTCACTGGACCATGGCCTAGGGGCCAGGGCCTCAAAATTGTCGTCAAACTGATATGTACTGATTGTAATGCAACTTCATACAAAATATCATTGGTCTATCACAAGTAGTTCCTATCAATCTAACTTAAGGTAGATAGGGTGTCTTCCTCCATCTTGGATTTTGAAATACTATAAACAATCGGTCTAGATCATTAAGAAAATGTGCAAATTTTGAGAGTAGTAGGTAATTCATGTGTAAGAATTTTCATTTCAATACAGAAAATGACATGTTTTATCATATTTATGGTTGTATTTTACAAAAAACAGAAAACTTTTGTTTTATTCAATTTTTTCCAACTTTGCCACATAAGGGGAGGCAACTCAAATGTAAGGGCAGACAATTCAGATAAAGTTATTTTTACAATAGAATGTGTTAGGAATTTACCTATTTTATTATGTAGCAAGAAAACGGGTCCGGTGACCCCATTTTTTCTTTTTCTTATCTGAAAGCATAATATTTGAGCTATCTTCTCATATTTTATCTCAAAATTCTATGGTGTAGTTTTCGTTTTATGGCAGAAAATTGGGTTTTCCATGCATAATCTATACAAAATCTGTCAATTTTGCACAACCTGTAGCATGAAAATAAGCCCCGTGACCCATTCTTTTTATTATTTTTTTTTAAAAAGCATGATATAAACTACATTTTGGCAAATTATTAAAAAATTCTATGGATTGTAATTTAGACACCCCATCTACCTTAAGCAGAAAACTTAACATTTAAAATTTCTTATTAATTCAAAGTCACTGGACCATGGCCAAGGAGGCAGGGCCTCAAAATTGTCGTCAAAATGATATCTACTGATAGTAATGCATATTCATACAAAAAATCAATGATCTATCACACGTAGTTTCTATCAAACTAAAGCAGAAAACTTAACAATTGTTGACGCCATAGCCGCAGCCAGAAAAGTAATCCCTATGTCTCGCCTACAAAGAAAGTCGCAGAAAGCGAGACATAGGGATTGCTTTTCAGAATATGGCTGCGGCTACGGCGTCAACAATTGTTTAGTTTTCTGCTAAGGTGTCAACAATTTTCAAGTTTTCTGCCTATCTCTCGCCTTCTGTGACTTTCTTCGCAGGCGAGACAAAAAAATTACTGGAATCAAAGCAGGATACATTTGTCATCCTCTGAACTAAATAAGCTCTCCAGAAATATTTTGTACTTTAACACATGTTTTATAGTTCAATTTACCTGATTAGAAACCAATTATCTTCATCAGATATGACCAATCAAAGTGTGACCAAAATCCTATTAAAAATGAATGCATAAACACTTGATCCTATATCCCATAGGGACTAATGAAAAAGTACATTATTCTTCCACATATTATTTAATTTGTACAGTAACTTCATTTTTAGTCAAAAGTGATTCCTGACAGAAAAATATTTCATTGTTTTGATATGATTTTTTGCTTTATATGCAACTTTGGGATTGTGTCAAGTTCTAGACATTGTTTCAGAGTTGGGCTGAAAATGAGTGTGTCCAAAATTGCTACTCATTGACTTTTCCTTTAATTGCTAAAACAGAACAAACCACTTTAGACTGCACAAAAAACTATTAAAATAGTTTCCCTTTTGGATTTTAGTTAATTGTTTTCTATTGAAAGGAAAGACCAATCATAGACCCTTCCCCACACATCAGATGGGAGAAATATAATTAACTCAGTAACTCCACAAGCATGGAAAGTCAAGCCCCTTATAATTTGTTTACAAACTTATCTCAAAATAATTATCAATATAATGAAAAGACTGAACCAAAGCATTTGCAGAGTCCCTTAAGTGAATACTAATGGTATGCAAAGTTGTAAAATTAAATAAGTTAAAAATAAAATGTCCCTAAGTTGACATCAACACTTCAGTGAACTGGGTTGTAGTTTACACAGATGATGTTGTCAACTAAGCAACAATTAAACTATAATTATTAGTACACTACAAATCACAATCATTATTGAGTAAATTATAGCTATTGAGTACGGTATATTTGTTACATTTTACAGTTGAGTGATGTGATACATCATGCATAGTAAAATGAAACAAGTGAAACTGTGAGCTACTGCTCACTGATGATACCCCCGCCCAAATATTTCAGTAAACAGGAAGTTGTTCAGTGATGAATCTGAAAACGCATCACACGGTATAGATGACTTATATAAACCCTGAAACCAAATTTCTGAAATCCTTGTATTGTAGTTCTTGAGAAAAATGTGACGAAAATTTTCAACTTGGCTATCATGTGTAAAATAATACAAGTGTTCGGTAAACAAGAGTTGTTGAGTGATGAATCTGAAAGCGCATCACACGTTATAGCTGACTTAAATAAACCCTGAAACCAAATTTTAGAAATCCTTGTATTGTAGTTCCTGAGAAAGATGCAACAAAAATATTCATGGAACGGACGGACAGATTGACCGATGGACTGACGGATGGATGGACTGACGGACGGACAGAGGAAAAACATTATACTCCCACTTTTTTAAAGCGGGGGTATAATAAAACAGTATACCCCCACTTTTTTAAAGCATGGGTATTATAATTTTGTGGCACCCCTAATTTAACAACTTTCTTTTGGTAATCCTTTCAATATAAAAGGTTTATTCAAATATTAAGTATATGTTAACCTAATAGCAATATTACACAACCACACATTAGATTTCGAATTGTGAGTATTTCATTTTTGTCTTTATTTCTTTAGAGAGTGTTGCCTATCAGTACCAATCTGATGATTTTAGAACAATAAACATCATTCTTATAGAACTGGTTCCTTTTTCTGTTAAACAACTGTCCCAGTGAAAAAATGGGTGCAATGTGGGAAAAGAACTCACAGACATGATTAACCTCACAACATACAGTTGTGCCTGTTGAAAACCAGGAGCCTTATAATTATACAGTTCTTTATCAGTTATTACAAATACATGTATATTTTCATTATCTAATATTCATCATTTTCATTTCTTCCAAGGTTTGCCCTGTTTAATTTTTAACAATTGTGTTTTTATAAGAAGCCTTAAATTTTAATAGCTAATTGCAATATGGATCCTTGCTCATATTTGAAGGTCATATAATGTTCAGTAGATGTTAACCTTTTCATTCTAGATACATTCAGAAACACAAAATGAGTAGACCATATACCTTTTCATGATGATCATTTGCAGAACAATAAACCTGATTAGTGCCACAATAACCCAAACAGCATATCAAGAGTGGCTTGCTTGTACTAATTTACTTTTTCCATTTTTTCTATGCAAGAATCATACATGCATTCTACATATGCAATAAAATTGTCATACATGGCAAATATAAAAAATTACTATAATTTCATTTTAAAATATTTATATATTTTCAATTATATTCTCTAAAAATTAATTTTGTGATTCACTACATGCAATTTGAAATAATAGGATTTTATAAAAAATAAATTGACAGTATATTCTCCCATGTGACTGACAACTTCATTAGCAACAATAAATAGTAACCCATAACATCAGAAATTACTTATAAAACAAAAACAATAGTGTAATTTTGCTTGAACTATGCAACCATATAAAGTGTGCACATTCCCATGTGTTTACTTATATTGTACCTATTCTTTTGATGTTTTGACCTGTAGACATTTAATCAAAATTAAATTGTAAATATTTCATGCTGAAATGCATTTAATATACATTGTAATTTAAAATAAAATTGAGAATGGAAATGGGGAATATGTCAAAGAGACAACAACCCGGCCAAAGAGCAGATAACAGCCGAAGGCCACCAATAGGTCTTCAATGCAGCGAGAAAATCCCGCACCAGGAGGTGGTCCTAAAATCTTTTTTCAATTAAATTTGCTGGCATGATGTTACAAAAGTACATTTTAATATTTTGAACTTTTTCAAACAGCATAATTAAAATTTGTAAACCCGCTATTAATTAAATATCAGACTATGGATTAAAAGACAAAAACATCATTTTTCAATAAATGTTATAGTACTGAGTTTCAAGAAATTAGTTCAACATACTTCAATTGATAAATACAATATTTTTGTCTTAGGTTGAAAATATTATAATTTAAACGAAGATTTTGAACGTTTTAATGAAATTTTAGGAAGAAGTAAGTTGTCATGGAAATTTTTTATCAACTGCTATGATTTCATAACAGGTCTGAAATTACAGCCCATACTTTGTTATAAAGACAGACAAAATAAGTTTACATGCAATAGTTGCTCTTTTAAGGTAGCACAATACAAAAGTAACTAAATTTTATCAGAAATTACTTCTTAATATTCCAAAACCACAGAAGAAAAATTTATTTACATATCTTGCACTGTTAATGAGTTTTGATGATAATCAGTTTTATAAACAAATGCACTGTCTGACTGATACAAGATAAGAACATGTGGGCAGTACTTTGTGGTTAATCAATAGAATCATTGATAGCTTTATAACCACTGACCAGCAATAAAAATAACAGTTATGAAAAAGAGGTGGATTAGGGATTTATGGAAAAATGAAGATAATGAATTCCAAATAAAAATACATTTCTATATTGGAGCTGCCAGGAGAAAAAACAAAACAACTATTTGGAGATATAGAGGGAATCAAAATATAAATGTACAGATATTAAACAAATATAATTGTACGACAATTAATGTTGCTGATGTTTATACTAGAATTTCTTGAGGAGAATGTTTAAATATGAATTCTTTTTAAAAGAAAATACAAATTAAATATTTCATTTTCAAACTGCAAAAATGAAAAAAATCTACTTTGTGTAAAACACCATATTGCCATTGTATACAATTATATTTCTAGAAATCCCCAAGAAGGATCCTCTAGACTGACCAAATGATGATTTTGTGTACACATGCATAACTTACTTTTTGTAACAATGCAAAAAACAAAATATATTATTTTATGTACTCAAAGAATAAAATCCATATTGAAAAAAGTAACTGCAATGTGTAAAAATTAAAAATTTGCTTTATAAATTTACAATTTATTTTTATAAAATACCTTTATTCAGAATATCTTTTTGTATAATGTTGAATAAGTCAATTATACAATAATTTAACTGGAATTTTTTTTTAATTTGTTTAAGCCATCTTGATATAATGCTAGAAAATCAGTCAGGACAGGCTTTGTAATGTTTCTTTTTTCAATCCCTATCTAATAAAAACAAAACTCTTGTTCAATGCCTAAGTTCCTGTGGCATTATGTATCTGTCACATTAAATATCAGGCAAACAACTGATTTTTTTCTGATACATTGTAATTGAAATGTAACAAACATAGTTAACACCAGTTTAGTGCATGTCTGACAAATGAAATCAATTTTCTTAATTTTAACAATTCCTGTTTGCGATCTTATTTCTATTACAAACAGAATCATCTGCAAAGTCACTTCCATAAAAGATGTTATCTTCGGAGATTATTCAAATTTCACTTTGAATGCTTTGAACAATTGTCATTGTTTACTTCGTGTAATCTGTCAATGTTGACAATTTTAGTAAGAAATCTGATATGCTAATTATTCCCAGAAAATAGAAAACAGATTATCATTCACAAAAGGATGTCCTGTTGACGTGGAAGTCAGTGTTTGGAAAAAAGATCTGATTCTTTTAATTTGGGTTAAAGTGGGCTTATCTAGATAATTCATCAAATTCCATGCATGGGGTTTCATATAAAATTGTAAAAGTCTTTTAACATGCTTACATTTCGTGCATACAAACTATGCACTGTTAATTTACATTCAGGACACATTTCTTTGCAAAGATATTTGTTTTCTTCATACATATATATATATTTATCGCTATATTGTGTATTTTTCCTTTGATCTTTTTTTGTGCTAATTTTTCATATCATGCTACTCAATCGAGATAGAAAATTATTGTCAGAAACTTAGAGTGCACGTGCTGTTGTCAATGTAAAAATTAACAACGTCATAGACAAAATAACGATAAACAGATTATCAATGCTCTTTCAAACTCAAGGATGTTTCTCGGCCACATCTCATTTTAGGGCTGTCGCCCTTCGATGAGATTGTAGCTGAGAAACACACTCTCGTTTCAAAAACCATTGATACTCTATAAACATATATAATAATCACTTGCAAAAATAAAATCAATAACTCAATTTGAAAAATTATGAAGCTCAAGTTTTCTCTAAGCTATTAACCTGTTCATACCAAAATTATTCCTGAATATATAATATAACTTTATTCTCATCACCAAAAGCTTAGGTACAGAGAAGACATGTATAACATCACATCAAATACACAAACTTAAGATAGATAAATTTGTAAATTTGTGGTTTTGGGTTCCAAATTTTTAGCAGAAAAAGGTCTCAAAAAGTTAAGAGATCAGCATCTCCAAAGCACACAAAATTCTTGTATATTTTTATCATTGTACAAAATTTTCCAAACTTCCCTATTTGTTGTCATCTTTTTTCATCATATGCATGCTTAAAGCTGCATTGATTTTTAAGGTAAGTCTATAACAAAACCTATAAATTTTTCATTCATTTCATTGCATCATAAGTTTCATACCTATGTGTTTTCATATAAACGATGAGATTTTGCTGACTGACTTTAGAAAACTTTAAATTTTTAAGTGATTTTTATAGATGAAAGCCTGTGAAAGTTGGCCTGTATTTTAAGATAAAAAGAACTTTTTGACATTTAACTGATTATGTATATCAATAATACTCTGATGATAGGGTATGAAATTAGGGCTTGGTTTTACAGAAATTACCTCACTTGTCACTTTTATAACTGGCAAAATACGCTTGTTATAACAAAAGACTGTCTTAAACATGATATTTTTGTTTATTCTACTGTTGAAAATATATACAAACCAATATTGACTTTCCAAATTCTAGGGGAAAATTTAGACTGGTTGAGTAAATAACTTTTTCACTGAAGTTTCAGATACATATTTTGATGAATTGAAAATAGATAGGAATTTTATGTTTCTATCCAGTTTCATCTTCTGGTACATTTAACTTGAAATCAAAAAGGGAAATGTAAAAAAGGTGAAAAATTTGCTTTATAAATTTACAATTTATTTTTATAAAATACCTTTATTCAGAATATCTTTTTGTATAATGTTGAATAAGTCAATTATACAATAATTTAACTGGAATTTTTTTTTAATTTGTTTAAGCCATCTTGATATAATGCTAGAAAATCAGTCAGGACAGGCTTTGTAATGTTTCTTTTTTCAATCCCTATCTAATAAAAACAAAACTCTTGTTCAATGCCTAAGTTCCTGTGGCATTATGTATCTGTCACATTAAATATCTTACATTAAATATTGTACATAAGCTTTTGGTGATGAGAATAAAGTTATATTATATATTCAGGAATAATTTTGGTATGAACAGGTTAATAGCTTAGAGAAAACTTGAGCTTCATAATTTTTCAAATTGAGTTATTGATTTTATTTTTGCAAGTGAAAGTGCGAAGAGATAATTGTTTCTAACATTTTCAATTCATCAAAATATGTATCTGAAACTTCTTGTTAGCTCAATGATTTGTTAAGAGATAATTGTTTCTAACAATTTTTACATTTCCCTTTTTGATTTCAAGTTAAATGTACCAGAAGATGAAACTGGATAGAAACATAAAATTCCTATCTATTTCAACAAGTACAATAATAGGAGGGTATATCAAAATAAATGCAACACAATATCTCTTGGTAGGTAATTAAGCTTAGATGATTTTAGTTTGAGATTCTGGCTCCCTGCTTATCAGTAGAGCCAGGTGGAATACAGTGACGTGTATTTGTTTATTGGATGTTAGAACGATGCATTGTATGATAGAAACATTTCTTGAAACATGGCATGAAATATTTATATAGCCATGAATATGTTAAAAAGTATTCAGAAATTCATGCAAATTGCTATTTTCAAAAAAAAAATATAGTTATAATGATCAAAATCTCACTGATTTTTATCGTATATCAAGTTTATATAACATGCACAGTTAATTAGTCCTCTTCAGCGCTGAAAGGGGTCATGTAGATTGTATTATGCCTGGCCTTTCTGAAGCTAACAGGAGGTTGGGCCAAGATGCCGAGATAAGATGTTTAAAAAAAAAAAAAAATCAATATAACAAAATTAATTCTCTTCAACACAACCAGTACATGATACTTTCAAATACTTTTGAACAGATGTAATGGGGTAGAAAAAATATAATTGTTCTGATATAAATTAGGCCGTTAGTTTTTACAATTGAAATGTTTCATATTTTTCATGTCAGGGCCTTTTATAGCCGACTATACAGTATGGGTTTTTCTCATTGTTGAAGGCCATACGTATGGTTGTCTATAATTGCATACATCCACTTCATTTGAACTTTGGTGGATTGTTGTCAATTTGGGAATCATACCACATCTCCTTATTTTATATGGTCATTTCCTAAATGAGTGATGAACCAATTTACAAAAAAAGGTAAGAAAGAACCAAATGCCTTTTTTCGTTCTATGTAAGACAGAAAATAGTTGAACTCTAAAAACTGACACCAAGAACATTCTAAGGATAAGTCTTCAAAAAAATTAATAGGATTAAGGACAATCAAGATTTTAAGACACAGATACAACATTATACCTTGCTGATATGATGTTGTTGAAATAAGTGATCTTGTATCTGCTGTCATGTGATCATATCTATCAGCCACCCTGATTGGCTGCTCATCATCACTGTCTTCACCAATCAGCCCACGCCTCAACACTTTCAACTTCTTCTGCCTTTCTTTTATTCTAAGGTATTTCTCATATGCTGACTGACCCATGTGTTCTCCTGTTGCAAATGATTTGGACTTAGGTTTAATTTGATTCTTTGCTTCAGTTTGTTTAGCTTTCTGATTACTATTTTGATGTGAAGAAAAAGTTATGTCAGAGAGATGATATGAACGACCAGTTGTTGGTGAAACTTCTGTCTGCATAGATGATGGGTGGTATGCACTCTGTCCATCAAAGTATGTGTCAGATGATGATTTGTGGTTTCTATGGTGTTTCTCTGAAATTAAGAAAAATCAATAATTCTTACGGCTGATTTTATATCATCTTATATAAAAAGAACTTAATATACAAAAATACCTAATGAAATCAAGAAGGTATTATGCTGCAATAGAGTGCATGAGGCTAGCTAATTACAGATCAAAGTGCTGAATCGCTAGGAAGGCAGTTTATATCCTAATAAAATGCTTCGCTGGGCGCAGCTTGATACGACCGCAGAGGTCGAACCCTGAACAGTTGGGGCAAGTATGGACACAACATTCAAGCTTGATACAGCTCTGAATTTGGATTGTGATTAAATATTTGACACAGCATAGGTTTCTGACACAGAAAGAATGTGGTCTAAGAACTTCAATTTTTTTAATTTACCTATTATGGTCCAATGTCCAAAATCAAAATACATGGTTAGATTCAGCATATCAAAGAACCCCATATATTCAATTTTTGTTGAAATCAAACAAAGTTTAATTTTGGACCCCAACTTGGACAAACTTAAAAACTGGTCCCATAATCAAAAATCTAAACACATGTTTAGATTCAGCATATCAAAGTACCAGAAGAATTCAATTTTTGTTAAAATCAAACTAAGTTTAATTTTGGACCCTTTGGACCTTAATGTAGACAAATTTAAAAAACAGGACCCTAAATTAAAAATCTAAAAACACAGTTAGATTTGGCATATCAAAGAACCCCAATAATTTAATTTTTGATGAAATCAAACAAAGTTTAATTTTGGACCCTTTTGACCTCAATATGAACCAATTTGATAGCGGGCCCACAAATAAAAAATCTAAATACATGGTAAGATTCAGCATATCAAAGAACCCCATATATTCAATTTTTGTTGAAATCAAACAAAGTTTTATTTTGGACCCCAATTTGGACCATCTTGAAAACTGGGCCAAAAATCTAAAATCTACATACATGTTTAGATTCAGCATATCAAAGAACCCCATATATTCAATTTTTGTTGAAATCAAACAAAGTTTAATTTTGGACCCCAACTTGGACCAACTTGAAAACTGGTCCCATAATCAAAAATCTAAACACATTTTTAGATTCAGCATATCAAAGAACCCTAAAAATTCAATTTTTGTTAAAATCAAACTAAGTTTAATTTTGGACCCTTTGGACCTTAATGTAGACCAATTTAAAAAACAGGACCCAAAATTAAAAATCTAAATACACGGTTAGATTTGGCATATCAAAGAACCCCAATAATTCAATTTTTGATGAAATCAAACAAAGTTTAATTTTGGACCCTTTTGACCTCAATATGAACCAATTTGATAGAGGGCCCACAAATAAAAAATCTAAATACATGGTAAGATTCAGCATATCAAAGAACCCCATATATTCAATTTTTGTTGAAATCAAACAAAGTTTAATTTTGGACCCCAATTTGGACCAACTTGAAAACTGGGCCAAAAATCTAAAATCTAAATACATGTTTAGATTCAGCATATCAAAGAACCCCATATATTCAATTTTTGTTGAAATCAAACAAAGTTTAATTTTGGACCCCAACTTGGACCAATTTGAAAACTGGGCCCATAATCAAAAATCTAAACACATGTTTAGATTCAGCATATCAAAGAACCCTAAGAATTCAATTTTTGTTAAAATCAAACTAAGTTTAATTTTGGACCCTTTGGACCTTAATGTAGACAAATTTAAAAAACGGGACCCAAAATTAAAAATCTAAATACACGGTTAGATTCGGCATATCAAAGAACCCCAACAATTCAATTTTTGATGAAATCAAACAAAGTTTAATTTTGGACCCTTTGGACCTCAATGTGGACCAATTTAAAAAACGGGGCCCAAAATCCAAAAACTTAATACACGGTTAGATTCAGCATATTAAAGAACCCCAAGAATTCAAGAATAAAACCCCATTGAAATTGATCAAGAAATAAGCAATTTATACGAAGTATCTTCTTTTGCACAATACTGTGCAATTGAATATTTCTTGCTATTGTGCAATACTGTACAATTGATAATTTCTTGCTATTGCGCAATATTGTGCTATTGGATATTTCTTGCTATTGCGCAATACTGTTAAATTGAAGATTTCTTGCTATTGCGCAATACTGTGCAATTGAAGATTTCTTGCTATTGTGCAATACTGTGCAATTGAAAATTTCTTGCTATTGCACAATACTTATTATATAATAATTTACACATCCTGTTTGGTGTGTATCTCCTTCCATATCATTATTATTTGCTTTTAAGTATAAATCAGAAATAACCAACTTAAAATGGAAAATTTTAGAAGAAAAAAAAAAGGAAAAAAAGAAAAAAAAAAAAAAAAAAATCCCCCCCCCCAAATTTTTTGAACCCCCTTATGATTCATCACCCCCAAACTCAATCCCAGCCTTCCCTTTGTGGTATGGTACCTTGCAGTACAATTTCAGAGAGATCCATACACTTGAACACAAGTTATTGTCTGGAAACTAGAAAAATGCTTATTTTTGGCCCCTTTTTGGCCCCCAATTCCTAAACGTTTCGGGCAATTACCCCCAAACTCAATTCCAGCTTTCCCTTTGTGATATGGAACCTTGTAGTACAATTTCAGAAATATCCAAACACTTACACACAAGTTATTGTCATGAAACTAGAAAAATGCTTGTTTTTTGCCCCTTTTTTGGCCCCTAATTCCTAAAATTTTGAGGCAATTACCCCCAAAATCAATTACAGCCTTCCCTTAGTGATATGGAACCTTGTGGTACAATGTCAGAGAGATCCATACACTTACACACAAGTTATTGTCTGAAAGTCACAAAAATGCTTATTTTTGGCCCCTAATTCCTTAACTGTTGGTACCATAACCCCCAAAATCAATCCCAACCTTCCTTTTGTGGTATTGAACCTTATGGTGAAATTTCATGGAGATCCATTCACTTAAACTAAAGTTAGAGTGCGAAAACCAATGTGTCTTCGGACGACGCCAGACGACGCCGGACGACGACGACGACGACAACGACGACGACGACGACGACGCCAACGTCATACCAATATACGACCAAAAAATTTTTAATTTTTGCGGTCGTATAAAAAAGGAATCAATAAAATTATGTCATCCAGTTTTCAAATGTCTGCCATTGTTTAAACTGCTGCTGATAGGTGTAAAATGTATAAGCACTTTTTTCAAGTGCGATTCCTACTCACTTCCTTTTAAGGTGTTTGCTAGCCGCAATAAATCTAGACTGAATGTTAGCCCAAAATACTAGAGCTTTAATTTATGGAAAACTTGTTTTTTAAAATTACTTCAAATAAAAAAGATAATGCATATCATGTGATAAAATACATCTAACTACTGATCCTGCAAACAATGTATTGCATATCAGAAACCGAAGCAAATAAACATTTAATTAAATCTTTGCATTCTCTATCTATTGGCTTTTTTGGCTATTCGTGTGATTCTTAAATTCACGTCAAAATTTACACAATAACCTGTTCATGCTGTTCTCTGCCTTTAATTAATGTTATCGCTATTTTGTGCATTTTTCCTTTAATCTTTTCTTGTGATAATTTTTCATATCATGCTACTCGCTTGAGATAGAAATTTATCGTCAGAAACTAAGAATGCATGTGCCGTTGTCAATGTAAACATAAACAACATCATAGGCAAAATAGCGATAAACAGATTATCAATGGTCTTTCAAACTTGAGGATGTTTCTCCTTCACATCTCATCTCAAGGCTATCACCCTCTGATGAGATTTTAGCTGAGAAACACCCTCTCGTTTGAAAAACCATTGATAATCTATAAGTATACTATTAGGGCTATATTTCATATAACTTTAGTCCAGCAATTTGCAGACTGCTGCATACATATTTCAATTCATTCAAATACACCTACTATGGAATGTTCAATCAAATTAAACAAGTGAATCTGTGAGCTACTGCTCACTAATGATACCCCTGCCCCCTAAAAGTATAAGGTAAACAGGAAGTTGTTGAGTGATGAATATGAAAACCCATCACACGGTATAGCTGACTCATATAAACCCTGAAACCAAATTTCAGAAATCCTTGTAATGCAGTTCCTCAGAAAGATGTGACGAAAAATATTCATGGGATGGACAGATGGACTGACAGATGGACGGATGGATGGATGGATGGATGGACGGACAGACAGATAGAGGTAAAACAGTATACCCCCACTTTTTTAAAGCGGGGGTATAATTATTTTTATCATTAAATAACAACAAAATATGCTTAGGCTTTATCATGAAATGACTTAAGAATAACATATCAATGATAAAAAAAAGAACTTGTTTATTCAGATTTTCATGATTAATCAAAGCAATAAAGTGTCTGGGAGAATATATCAATGCACTCAAAGATATGTTTACACAAATGCATAAACTGCCTAAAAAAATACTACCCAATTTGTTAAGTAAGAGTAAATCAAGGCATATAGGGTGGTAGGAGTGATATTGCTTCAATCTATATCTAACGATATGGTTTTCTTCCATTTTATTTTCTCATGCAACTTGTCAGTTGATTATAATAAAAATTAGTAAGGGGTTCTGCACCTGTGACTGCTGCTGTCAGTGTAAAAGTGTAATGTTCGACTTAAAAAGTGAGTCCATTTTATCAGTAAAATACAGAATTAAAAAAAAATTTCATCTTTTTCTTTAGATGCTATTTTTTGGTCTTGAAGATTAGCTCCTGTCCAAGTTTCATAACAGTCCATGAAGGTTTACAAACTTATCATGTTAAAAACTAGAGGCGCTCAAGAGCCTGTGTCGCTCACCTGTGTCTTCTGTGGTTTTGGAAATCATGTAAAATACGGTTAAAATCATAATAGATACCCTAATAATGATTGAGGCCAAGTTTGTTTTAATTTGGCCCAGAAATTAAATTAAAAGCAGAAGATTTTTGAAAAAATTTACAAAAATTACCAATAAATTGCAGAAAAAATCTTTAAAGGACAATAACTCATATAAGATGTCAATTGCCAATTTTGGTCATGTTGACTTATTTATAGATCTTTCTTTGCTTGATATTTTTGCTGTTTACAGTATATCTCAATCTATAATGATATTCAAGATAATTAACAAAAAATGCAAATCCTTTCCTCTGCTCCAAAATTTTTTTCACCCAGGGCCTGTATAATGCTGGAAATGTCTTTAAATGTTTTTTTTTATCACCCTTCAAAAAAAAAGGAATCATTGGATACATTTTTTAAACTAGATACCCTAGGGATGATTTAGGCCAAGTTTGGTTTAATTTGGCCCAGTAGTTTCATTGTTGTCTGATTTGATTGATAATTTCAGGGCAGATAGATCTTGAACTGAGGAACAATTTAACCCCATGTCAGATTTGCTCTAAATGCTTTGGTTTCAGAGATATCAGCGAAAATCTACATTTTACCCCTATGTTCTATTTTAAGCCATGGCAGCCATCTTGGTTGGTGGGCAGGGTCTTCGGATACATTTTTTAAAACTAGATACCCTAAGGATGATTTAGGCCAAGTTTGGTTCAATTGGCCCAGTAGTTTCAGAGGAGAAGATTTTTGTAAAAGTTAACAGACGACGACGGACTACGGACGCCAAGTGATGAGAAAAGCTCACCTGACCCTTTGGGTCAGGTGAGCTAAAAATTAATCCCAGACTGTTTGTAAATGTTAACTGTAAAAAACCAAGTCCATCTATCAGAAAAATACTAAAAATGAAAAAAAAAACATATTTTCAAAGATTTGCTTCAGACATTATCTCTTATTCATTAAAAAGCTCCTACCAAAGTTTCATAAAACTCTATGAAGGTTCAACAAAGTAATTGATGTGTAACAAATTTCAACCCCAGATTGATACTTGTTAACTGTAAAAAAAACTAAGTCCATTTATCAGTAAGATACGGAAAAATGAAAATAAATATTTTCAAAATATTGCTCTGGATACTGTTTTTTGGTCATAAACAAGCTTCTTTCAAAAATTCATATAATTCCATGAAGGTTTAACAAAGTTATTGATGACTGAAAAACTTTAACCTCTGACTAAATCTGAATGTTAACTGTAAAAAAAACTAAGTCCATTTACTAGTAAAATACGGAAAAATGAAAATAAATATTTTAAAAATTTTGCTATGGATAATCTTTTTTGGTCATAAACAAGCTTCTGTCTAAATTTCCTAAAATTCCATGCAGGTTTTACAAAGTTATTAATGTCTAAAAAGTCTTTAACCACAGACTGAACATAAATGTTGACGCCGTCGACGGAATCTAGGATAGCTATGTCTCCTTTTTCCGACATAAATGTCGCAGGCTCGACAAAACCAGAAAAATGCTAAGTATGCATTCTTTGTCCAAAAAAAATTGCATGGAGTACAAAACAGAATTGAATTTTGTCTTGTAGTGCAGAAATTTCATAGAAAATTTATGAACATTCATATATCTGATAGACGTTATAATAAAGCAAGGGACAATAAAACTCTATCTTACAAGAAGGAAGTATTATTAACCAAAAATATAACATGAAAAATCTAGTTTGAATATGGTGTCACATACGTACCATGTGAACCTTAACCTATTACTAGTAAAAAAGACAATATCTTAGTTCAAGTTTATTCCAAAAGAGATTCCACTTCTTGACCCCTTATTGAAAGGCTTTGAAACTGAAGACACAAAGCAGAAAAGCCTTTTCACTTTCAGCCATGGCAACTAATACAGATCTGTCATGTTTGTTGTATCGTTAATCTATGAAATAGATTAATAACACCTTTTAAATCAAGACCAAAATTATATTTAACTTTGGTAAAAAATAATTCATAAGATTATCAATTTCTTCTAGGATATTAATAATGGATAAGTAGAATAAAGGTTAGGGAAAGCATACGTCTGAAAAGAAAAATCTGAAGATTTGATTCCAATCAATGCTACTTATAGAAAAGAGTCATAAATATTTTACGCTTTCTGATCAATAATCCATTACCAAGTAAAACTTAATGTCATACATATAATTAATATTGTTAGAATTTGTTACAGTGTCAATATTTGAGGCACTAAATGTTTTATAACAATAATAACATTCTGCCTTGCAATTAGCGTGATGTTATTAAGCCTACTTAGTTCGGCAACTTTTTTTAGGCACAAAAAACTCTTTTTATCTTTTATTTTTTTGTTTTTTTTAATCAATACAAACATTTTAAAAGGATTTCATCTAAATGTCATATGCAATTAATTTGCCTGATAAATTTCTTCAGATTTACAAAAAATGATCACAAAAAAAATGCAGGAAAATTTTCTATTAAAGTTTTTTTTAATCACGATTTTATGGTACATTATTATGACAATGATTCAGAGTTTTTCTAAGTATTTTAAATATGCACCACAGGATTTGAAACAGAAATATTTACATAAAAGTTTAAACTATAGTACCACTTTTATAGCATTCTATTATAAAATCTTTTCAGATAGCACCATTGTTTCATAAGACCCATTGGATTACAATGAATGATATAAATAAAATAATTTTTGAGATACCGTAGAAAGGCTTGTATAGTTCACACTGGTACATAGTCCTCACCCCCTTCTCCCCATGAAATTTTAGGTAAAAAAACTTTTTGTAACTGTTAGAAAAGGTCTAATGAAACTCCGGTAATTTCAAATCCTGTGCGGTCGTTTGCGGTATTTTCTTGGAAAAAACTGTTTTCCATCATCAAACAGAAGCTGAAACTGCTTGTAAATGATTCTAGAACGCTTCATGATTGTTAAAATAAGTTTAATTCACTTAAAAAAAAATTTAGAAACTTGTGTATGTTTAGACAAGAAGTTTAAAAAGCACGTGTTAAAGAAGAAATTAACCGGTGAGAGTTGAAATCCGTACATAACAGATATCACTATAATACGACTTTGAAAGTAAAACAGTTCCATCCTTTTGTAAAACAGTCTTTAATATATCTATCACATTAATGTTTGAAGGGTCTTAAGCTAATACAAACCATATTAGTCAGTATGAAACACTAAAACAGAACGAACAATAACCGATTACGTTTTGTAGTTTACAAATTCTAAGCTGGTTTACGGTTGTCTTTTTCACTATGTTTGTATCGTTTCAATCAAGCAGATACCAGTTTATTTCAACCAATGCATTGAAAAGAAACAAAAAATTTGTAATGAAAGGTTTAGTTTTTATATTTATCAGTATTAATTTGATATTGAATAGAAATAACTTATTAATATGGATGAGTTAAAATTATTAGTTTGAAAAATGATAAGAGCCCCCTCTACAATATAAATAACAAAGATGGTGGAACGTAAACAAACCACCTCGCCCGCGAAATTGAAATTTTTCTCTTATTTCTTGCTTATTGTACTTTATAGTCCGCACCCCGTCTGGAAGGTCCAATTTTGGAGAATAAAACCGCGGACTATACAAGCCTTTCTACGGTAGTCACTGAAAATTTGGTAAACAATCTATTTTTAAATAGGATACTAACAAATTTAATAATGGAAGGGTTTAAAAGGCCTGTATTGCTCAACTAGCTAATATATAACAGCCAAATGTGTTCTACAGACATCAAATTCTGTATCCAAACTATTATATAATATAGGCATGTTTTGCAATGTGTAAATAATGTTTAGATCTGTACATTTCATATTTTCAAACCAAACAAGAATCCAATATGGTTGAATGGGACTCAACCAGACTCAATAAATTTCACAGGTAGCCATGTGGTTAGTAGAAGTTACATTTGTCATTTCGGGGGCCTTTCATAGCTTACTATGCCATATAGGTTTTGCTCCATGAGAACTTCATAATGGTCATTAAGTAGAAGACAAGAAATTGATTGATTGACTGGTGATTGCTTTAAGCCGCATCAGCACAAAAAGGCTATATAGCGACAAGAAATTGAAAGATTCCCCATAATGTTCAGGGACTCTGTGACACCATAGTAATTTTGTATACCAACCAATTAGAATGAGACAAGGAATACATGGGTTACCAAATCATAATTCTTATAAAGTTGTGGACATTTGTTTGGGTAGAAAAAATACTTATTATCCATTGGTTAATTTGGCTGTACAAAATAAATAAACTAAATATACATCTCTTTTCTAAATGACAGTTCTTAATCATTGTGAATTGTTTAATTCTATTATTCAGTTACTCTTATGCACCTTTATTTATTTTTTTTATATCATGAATTATTTATTTCATTAATACATTATTACATTGTTTGTCTTATTTTCCTCCCTTATTTCAGATTGTAACTCACCTTCACCATAACTTCTTGTTGGTGACCTAGACCTTGATCGTGATCTAGATTGTGACCCTGAGTATGACCTTGGCCTTCTGTTGTCCCGATGATGAGTATACTTATACTTTCCCCTTGATCTTCCAGGTCTGTTTTCTTTAGACAGGGAGTTGTAATGGCGGCTATATTCTTCAATGGCAGCAGTGTCTGGGGACAGTTCACCCTGAAGTAAAAAAAAACCAAACATTTCTAAAAATAACTTGACCTGTATATCCAATTTATAGTTATATCATAAATGTAATTGAGATGACATTGTTCTCAAACCTAGAAAGATTAAAAATCATATATACAATGCAGTGTTCCAGCCAGGATTTGAAATTGGTAGGGTGCTAATCTCAAAAGGCGACTTCATAAACAAGACGGAATAACTTGGTGGAAAATCTCTATTATGACATCACAGTCATTAATGAATGAATGTGGTTTCTCAAATATTTTCCTACTACAAAATGGTAATTACCCAAAAAAGTGTTAGTTGCAGCCGTAAAACTTCGATTCACAGATAAATTTAAGCAAACATGGCTTTCAAAAATTCAAAACACTCCAAAATGTTTGAATTACTAAATCTTCAAGAAAGATTTAACATGTGGAGCAGGATCTGCTTACCCTTTCACAGTACCTGACATCACCCCCTGTTTTTGGTGGGGTTCGTGTTGCTCAGTCTTTAGTTTTCTATGTTGTGTTTTGTGTACTATTGTTTGTCTGTTGGTCTTTTTCATTTTTAGCCAAGGCGTTGTCAGTTTCGACTTATGAGTTTGAATGTCCCTTTGGTATCTTTCACCTCTCTTGAAGATTGTTTACAAATACTTAAATAAATGTGGATAGATTCCACATGTGGACACCAATGATGCCCCCGCTTGCATATCATATAGTTATAAAGGGACATAACTGAAGAACGGTAAAAGTGACGCTACCCAAATTTGAACTTGATCTGAGTTTTGTGGTAATCAGCGTTGTGTGTAAGTCTCATAACATTTGGTTGAGGCTAACTTAAGTAGAGAACAGAAACTAAAAATTCAACAATTTTTCTATTTGTAAACACGCATAACTCTAGAACGGTTTTGTATAAGTATAATAACATTTGGTTGAGACAAACTAAAAAATTCAGCAATTTTTATTTTTATTAAAGGGACATAACTCAAGAATGGTAAAAGTGTCGCCACCTAATTTCGTACTTAATCTGTATTATGTAGTAATAAGCATTGTGTATAAGTTTACATAACATTTGGTTGAGGCAAACTAAAGTTAGAAAACGGAAACAAAAAATTTGTACTTGATCTTAGTTTTGTGGTAATGAATATTGTGTATAGGTTTCATAATGTTTGGTTGGGGCAAACTTAAGTTACAGAATGGAAACTAAAAATTTGGCAATCTTTCGATTTATAAAGGGGCATAACTCAATAATGGTTAAAGTGATACTTAGTCTACCCAAATTCAACTTGATCTGTGTTTTATCAGTGGAAGTCAAAATTAAACATTGCATTGTATAAAGTATTGATTGTAGTTGGCGGGGGCATGAAAAAAACTTAGTAACTTTTTGTAAATTAAGGACACTTAATCATAATTTACTAATCAAAAGAGGTCGATGGACAAATGTAGAAAGATCAGAGAGAAAATGCACACTTTGGGACAGATCAGAGATAGGAGATGAATATCATTATACTTCAGAAAGTCCTGCACTGAAAAACGAAAGGAAACTGTATTTACTCCCATATTTTTCATATCACTCATACGTATTAAAACTTCAGAAACTTTGTAACACAAAGAAAATTTCTCTTCTTAAAAGACTGTGTAAACTAATTAAAATAATAAACCAAAAAACCTGTCCTCCGGGCTAGACTGCACTACAATACTATAAATTCAGAAATTATTGCGTGCATTTATTATTGCGATTTTGTCATTTTAGACTAAAACGCGATTTTAATTTTTGCGATACTGAGAAAAATCCTGTTTAATTCATATAAAAAATTTCAAAATGCGAGTTTAAATTATTGCGATTATAACCCTGTCGCATTTTTCGCAATAATAAAAACATCGCAATAATTTCTGAATTTACAGTATTGTTTTTTGGGTTTTTTTTTTTTTTACATATTGTCCCTACTACACCAATGTTAACTCACCTATACCATACTATGTATTATTTGTATATTATTTTTGCATGTCATTCTCTGTACCTTTGATTGTATTGGTTTTTAGTGTATAAAGTATCGTATTGTATTGTCAAGCCAGTGCTAATATAACCCTTTAAAGCCTTTATTCAGATGTTTTAAAAAACAGATCAAAGTATACAAATTATAATTGTATCAGATAGACCCCCTCCAATTGCCAATTTTCAATATGAGAATTCTCTGAAATGCATCTATCCTGTTATCCTAACTGATCCCAAAATGATTTTGACAGATGAATTGTGACTATAAAAGGTACTCTTACAGCAAGACAAACATTAATAAAGGATTAGAGTGGTGTTTAAACACTTAAAGTGAGATAAAATTCATTACATTGTTTATAACTTTATTCAGATGTTTTAAAAGTAGATCATAGTATAGAGATTATGATTGTTTCAGATACAACTTGTATACAAGAGGACATTAAAAGAATTTGTTCAAATACAAATATTTATAGTTGCAATAAGGGAAAGAAAAACATTCATATTTAATGTTCTTTAGGTCATCAACTGTTCTCAGTGTAGTAACCTCATCAGCATGACCTGGCCATTAAAATTATTTAAGTGCTTTAAAATACTTGCCTCACTTCCACTGCCAAGAATAGCATTATACAAGTCTCTTGTATATTGGGAGAAAGAGTTCAATCCAAAGTTTTCCTCTTGGAAACCTGCACAAGCCTAACAATGTAAAGAAATACAGTGAGCTATACTAAAAAGAACCAAAATATCTACCTGATTTTATAATACTAATACACAGAGTATTCAATTTCGCACTTCAAATATTCATACATAACAAGATCCTTTCTTATAACTTTTTATTCACCGTCTCTAATACCATATATGTCAGATTTGTTCAAAACTAACAAAAATTGAGATTTCAACATACCATGCATAAAATTTTTATTTTTGAGTTTTTTTTAACTTTACAAGCTCTTGTGCATATCTTCTATATACACACAAGTTATAAATCTATATGTCTGCTGCAAGTAAGACAACTCTCACTGAGGACTGAAGGTTAATTATAGATTTGTATCCTTATATCATAGCTACATGTACTGTATAAGCAATTTTTTAATAGGAAAATTCACCTTTTTTTGGGAGAACACAGAGACAAGGATGTGGTAAGTTAAAAAAATTAAGTTCATATCGAATTACCTGAAACCTGAGGTTAAGTTTCAAAAGCTTAACCCGGGTTACTAAAACTTTGTAAGTTCCCATATTGCAGACTCGGCACAGCAAATTGAATGGTACAAATATCAAGTTTTTCATAAATATGCAAAAACGGATAAATTTTGCTGAATTCAATATTGGCACAGCAGTTTCTGAGAATAAGATTTTAATAGCTAATTAAAAATGACACTTGGTTTCATTGATGTCAAAAATTAAAACAGAACTTCAGGACTTCCATTAAATTGTAACAATATTCTATTAAAACAAAATCATCACTCGACATTTCGCAACCTATCAAGCTGTCATATCAGCATCTTAATAATGTGACTAATCTATTGATAGGTAAATTATTATGATTATTACAAAGGCATATCAATAATTACCTCCATCAATTGGGACACCTCCGGTATCTGTTTCCCATTCTTATCACACATGGCACATAATACATACTCTAAATCATTACTTATGTTTACTGGCTAAAATACACAAAATGCATGTGTTAGTTTATAAATGTGTATAATAATTATACATTCTTGAACATTAAAAAGACTTAAACAGTAAATTACACATTTCAAAGTAGCAGTCCTTATGTGCCTCTACCAAGCTAGAAGAATGTAGTCCAGTGCTTTCTATTTGTTACTGTTTGTCATAATTGTTTTGTTTTTTTTATGTTATGAGCTTAAATCAGGTCATTGTTTTTCTCTTTTGAATTGTTTCCCATTTTGTCATCTTGGGGCCTTTTAAAGCATATAATCAGTATGGTTTTGCTGGTTTTGCTGATTATTGAAGGTCATACAGGGAGCTGTAGTTGTTTACATGCTTGTCCTGAGGTCTTACTTGATAGGTGTCTCATTTGAAACCATACCATCTCCTTATTTTTTTTATTAAACACTTAAAATGCAACAGAAAAGCATAAATAACAGTATTTGGCATAAAAAGTACAAGCATTTTATGAAGGATATACTTTTATAAGTAAATAAGAACTTTTTTCAGTCTGTTTACTGATATAAGGCCAACATCAGTAAACAGACTGAAAAAAGTTCTTATTTATAAGTAAATAAGAACTTTTTTCAGTCTGTTTACTGATGTTGGCCTTATATCAGGATTTTTAGAAAAGTGTTTAGACAACACAATGGTAATAAAAGTCACATCTCATAAGGGACATTGTTAGAACTCACTCAGCTCAAACTAAAATTGTATTAATTATTGACAATCATGGATTAATGTAAAGATATTTTTGAATGATCAAACGTTTAATTCTATAGCTCCATATTGTGCATACTTACACATGCATTGTATATGTATTTGCTTATAACAGGGAAAAATGTTTAACAAATAGTTCTGCTAATATTTCCAGTAAAAAGAAATGGGACATAAAAATAATATATGAATATTTCAAGAAACTTAAGTAGCATGGGTATCTTTTAAAACTGTTTCAAAGAAAATATAATTTAAATTCGGTAAGATCAATATTCAATTAAAACAAAATGTATGGTACTGCACATGCAGAATCTATTTCTGGAAGACAATTTCCATGACTCAAAACAATTCAAAACTAGAAAGCTTAGATAATGACATTCAAAATCAAATGAAATAGATTTACGCATCAGGACATTTTGCTTTCCCTTATTATAAATATAGTTCTTTTTACTTCATAATATCAATGATTAAATTAATCTATGCAGAGCTCTGAGTCAAAGTTGTTTATAATGGGATCATTTTCCATCTTAAACTTATAAAATTTTATTACTTGTCACTATCTACCATTCATATTTGCTTTTATATCTTCATTCTTATTTGTATTAACAAAGTGAAATTTTCCTTTGATCATAAAAACAGAATTCTGATCACAATGAGATCTGAAGACAAATGATAATTAATTCTTCTTTTACTTTACCAGACATCCTTTAATCCACATTCATCATTATCATGATTATGCTGTGTATTATTGGAAGGGGATTAAGAGGATATATATATATCACTCAAGGGACCGTTCTTTTAAGTCAAATGTGCAGATATTTTGTGTGGTAAATAAAAGATCATGATCAATTTCCATAAAATTTTAATCTCAGTTTGAAGGAAATTTTTATGTGCTTTTAAAAGAAAATCAGTAAGAAAAATTAACTTTACTTTTTTTTACAAACCCTTCTATGGCAGAAACAACAAAAATATCTTTGGAGAAATTAATTATTACAGGCAAAAAAGAAATGTTTGACATAGCAATTTTCACAGGAAGGAGAATCTGTTGGCACACACACACTTGTAAGGCCAAAATCTAAAAAACAATTGTGTTGGTTTCTTTACATTCTGTATTTGTTATGCCTGAGGATCCCTAACCATAATTTTTTTGGTATTCTTGATAGTGAATTGTCATAAAATTTCAGGTCTCTCCAAATATTTAAAGAAAAATGTTGAGAAAAATGAAAATAAAAGATGAAAGTGTCTGAGGACACGAATGCTCTCACTCAAGCGTTGCAATGAAAATAGGACGGACAGACGGAAAGACGGTCAAGGGTAACACTTAATGCCCCTGTCGCCTTCCGTGGGGGCATAAATATTACTTACTACCTTTTTTTTTCAAGGAGGAACCCTAAACAGACAACCTGTTTTGTCTGGCCTTATCTGTAAATATAATTGAAATACTACCTGTAAATATATGAAATGGTATTAAATATTGAAATGATTTGACTTACCATTCCTTTTGGAAGCCCATATTCAGCTGCTTGAATCAGCGATGATCCCAGGGAGAATAAAGTCAACTGAAATAAAAACTTCTAAGTCAGTTCTACAAATGTATATAAACAGTGTAAAAATCAGCCATGATACTAGGGAGAATAAAGTCAACTGAAATAAATATTTCTAAGTCAATTCTACAAATGTATATAAACCGTGTAAAAATCAGCCATGATCCCATAATAAAGCCAACTGAAATAAATATTTTATGGTCAGTTCTAAAATCAGCCATGTTCCAAGAGAGAATAAGGTAAACTGAAATAAATAATTTAAAGTCAGTTCTAAAATAACAGTGTAACAATCTAACTATGGTTGACATAGCTGGTAAGGATGTTAAATAAGTCAAAAACAAAAATATGCGTCCATAGGACACAATGCCACCTCACACGACCACATTTTCATGTTCAGTAAACCGTGAAATCTTGGTCAAACCCTAATTTTGCACATACATTAAACACTAATAATGAACATGTGTACTAAGTTTCAAGTTCATGTGACCACAAGCCATCTTAACCAAAACTTAACCTAATACGGTACAGATGGACGGACATACTGACTGGAAAAACATAAAGCCTCTCTACTATCTTAGGCAAGGAATAGAATTAGAAGGTTATGGGAGTCTGAATCACTAATTTGGCGATCAACTTTTGATATAATTAAACCATTAAAGAAACGCATGTTGTACATATTTAAATTTGTTTCATGTACATGTATTCATATAAATCCTGTAAATAAAAGATGTTGGGAATTCCTCATAGTGACAAGAACTCAATGATAATATATATTCAACAATGGACCAAAAGAATAAAGCAAGCTCTAAATCATGTGGTATCCTGAATAAATTAGACAGAAACAATCAAAGATCGACCACCAACACAAAGTTCTCGAATTTTATTTCTGTCAGATTTTATTTCTAAATGGTGGAGGCCATGTTTTAAAGGCAGGTGTAATTTTATAACATAATCTATTAAGGAGTCACCAAGGGTCCAGAAATGGTCATATTTGCCAGACAAGACCTTAACTGAAAAGTCATTGACCAAAATGGAAGATTGGGATTTAGGTCAAGATACTATTTTTTGACAGAAATAATTTCAGTCATTTTCTTTGAGATTGGGTTTTTTTAATGCCATTTTGCACTAATTTTTGTTTAAAAATGCTTTTCCAGTAATAAAACTGCCACTCCAATAAAAAATATTAATCCTGAGGGCCCTTCTCATTGCAATATTAATGGCTCCCTGAGATATGGGCTAATGATTTCTAATCACTTTTAAACTTTGTTCTACACACCTGACACTAGAGATCAAACTCAGAACTAATGGGCACAGGACGTTTGCGCTTTTTTACCTGTAACACGATAGGACATTTCCGCTCCAAACACTATGAACATTTGCGCTTTAAGTTTTGACACACCTGTAGTAAATTGACTGGACATTTGCGCTTTTTACCTTTAGTCGTCTACCTGTAATTTTTAATGAGTTACGTAAATAAATTTAACTTGTAATTGTCGTTAGTTAGTTCACATTGACACAGCCTTAAACATAGAGTATAAAGTTATGGAGACAAGTACAGGAAAATAAACTGTTATCACAGAGGTATGTCTCGCCTTTTTGTAATTTTGATAATGCAAATGTTGAAATTATAATAGCAATACTTTAACATGTAAAGTTATGCAAATATTCAAAGTCGATGAACCATGACTGAAGGTACATGGCTAAACAATCAAAAATGGAATGAGATATGCCAATGCTAATACAACTGCATACCAAATACCATTGACTTATATAAGTCGTTCCGATTAAACAAACCTAAACACAAACATTAACTTGTAAACTATGTAAAAGTTTCAAAGTCAATGAACCATGATCAGGGGTGGGGCTATATAATCTCCATGGAAACAATACTTGCAAATGCCAATAAATTTGCATACCAAATATCATTGACTTAACATTAGCAGGTCATCTTAAACTGATCTAATCACAAACTAATACATGTAAACTAAGCAAAAGTTTCAAAGTAAATAGACCATGACTGAAGGGGCAGGGCCAAATATTCTCCATGGAAATGAGATGTGCTAATGCTTATACAGCTGAACACCAATTAACATTGGCCTACCACTAATGGTTCCCCTTGAACTGACCTAATCACAAACTAATACATGTTAACTTAGCAAAATTTTCAAAGTCTATAGACCATGATAAGGGGGCGGAGCAAAATAATCTCCATGGAAATGAGATATGCCAATGCTTATACAACTGCATACCAAATATCAATGACCTACCACTAGTGGTTCCCCATAAATTGACCTAATCACAAACTAATACATGTAAACTATGAAAAGTTTCAAAGTCAATAGACCTTGACTGAGGGGGCGGGGCCAAATAATCTCCATGGTAATGAGATGTGCCAATGCTAATACAACTGCATACCAAATATCATTGACCTACCACTAGTGGTTCATCATGAACTAGACCTAATCACAAACTAATACATTGTTGACGCCGTCACCGCCGACGCCAGAAACATCATACCTATGTCTTGCTTTTTGACTCTGTCAAGGCGAGACAAAAATGTATATGTCACGATGGATTTTTATCATTGAACAACAGTCGGTTAATTACATTAAAATTCGTTATGTTGATGAACAGGCATCTCAGTCAAGAATTGAGAAATAGAGACTAGAATAGGTATTTGAAATGAGGGCGAAATACCAGTCAGGATAGATTACAAGAGCAAAATTGTTCATTCCTTGGGCTTCAGATATCAAGCGAAAATTGGCCTGTGATAACTATGCGTGTCTTTGATGTCTTTATAATGTTTACTTTTAGGTATATATAACTATATCAATGTGCTATGAAAATACTTTTAAACACGAATGTGCTATGGAATGACTATCTAACTTTTAACCATAAAGAAAATATTGTAAAAGCGCAAATGTCCATATTTAAGAAGCGCAAATGTCCTATGAATTGAAGCGCAAATGTCCATTAAAAAAAGCGCAAATGTCCTATGAAAAAGGGCAAACGTCCCGTGCTGGAACTAATATTATAAAGAAATTCTATTCCATGACAAATTACTTCATTATTTTATAACTTTACAGCAAACACAATCACCAATTCTGATTAAAAAATTAAAACTTTTATTAAATTAGTACAAAAATGTTATTTTTCACGAGTCGAGTCAAACAAGTGCTTTTTTACTATGTAATATGCATGCAAGCACCAGATTAGACAATTATTGTAAAATGCAAAATAATGTCATGCCAAATTAAAGGAGTGAAACCAGTTCAGTTATATATTCATACACTTTTACAGGTACTGTGGATTCATTTATTTTTGTGGGTACCAATTTTCGTGGATTGCAGAAAACTTGCATTTTCGTGGATATGTGATTTCCTGGTTTTGCTGAAGTCAGCATACAACCTGATAGAAAATTTGTAATTCGTTGAACATTTAAATTCGCGGTTTACCTGTATCCACGAAAACCACGAAAATTGGTATCCAACGAATAATAATGAATCCACAGTAATAAAATTAAAAATACAATGATTTCCTGCCATTTGATAAACGGAACATTCCTGTAAATGAATTTGGAATCACTCGTAATTTAGTTTAAACTTGAAACTGACAGTTTTTATTTTGTCTTCAAAATCAAAACAAGTGTTGATGACTCCTGAGAAATTTACAGTTTTAAGTCATTAAAATAATTTCAATTTTAAACTGTTGCATTTCATAAATTGTCCTTGAATGTTTTTAGAAAAACGGTAAGAAACTGTATGAAGTAAATGTATTGAAGCCACCAATAGAAGTCTGTTGATGCCATGAATCTAGTATGAATAATTTAGACAGTTTGAAAAAAGACCCCAACTTTCAAGTCATATCAAAATGACCGAAATTATGTGAAAAAAATCCAGATCCTTGTCACATTACAATAGAGGTTACGTCTGATGGTGTATTGATCAGATTCTCAATAATACTTATAAGGGTAGTAAGACATCTTAAGAACATTTTTACCCATGGAGCTTCTATTGGCAAAATCATTCACAAGTCTTTTTGGAGAGACAACAAAATAGACACAAGATGGAAAAATTTGACACTGACACTTTGGTTCAGGAGAGCTACATGTACAAAATATTTAACAAAAAATTGTGACAGGACTTATCATTTTTTCAAACTAAAAAATCTTTCAAATTGAAAAATTATCACACATAATTATCAGCAACAGAGTCTTAATATGGACACTGGTTATAATATAGTCCAAACCCTATTCTGAATACACAAACACCACCCAGATCTAACCCAATATTATGTCTGTCACAAGATTCTTCACTTTGATTGTATTTTTTTTTCAGTAAATTCGATAAACATTTTCATATATGGTCAAAACTTGATTATTCATGATTGGTTGTTCTTGAAAACTTGGGTAGGTTGAGATACTTTTCAGACTTTGTAAAATTCCTGTTTGCTCAATGTTCTTTCTCTGAGGAGTTGAATTGGTTGAAATCATGTTTAAAGTACTGTTGAATACCAATAAAGGTAAATCAACCCTGCTGTTATGAATTTGCAAGTAAAAGAAAATTTGAAGAAAAAAAAATCAAGTTCGAAAATCATGTAATAAATTATGCATAAAAATAATGGAGTTTTCTTAATTAATACTATTTAAATCAATTTGTTTGTTTTACAGTCAGAATGTCATGTTTATTGTTTGCAGACAATGATTGATCAAGTGGAAAAAAGAGCATCCTTTACCCAAGAGTAATTATAGAAGCAATTATCAGACCTATGCTGAGAACATCCATTAAAATGAAAGAATTATTATAATCATGATCAATTGATAAAAGTTATTGGAAAGATTAAGACTGGACTTCCAACTGTTAGCAACTACATTTGTACATCACCAAAGACCAATTTTATTCCAAAAGTACTTTCGTAATTTATATTGATGTGTACATGTACAATTGTAAACATTAGATTTACGCTATTATCTTGCTAAATATTTTTATTAATCATGTTGAATAAATATATTTTCA